ATGATGATATTAATTATTACTAATATTAATTTTAAAACTATATAACAATTATAAAAAAAAAAACGAAATAAGTAAAATTCTCATGCATTGCATGCATGCATTCACTCATAAAGAAAAATAATAATTACACAGACAAAACACACAAACGTATATATATATATATATATATATATATATACATACACGTATGATGTGATGAGAAGTGTTGATCACATAAAACACCTTTTTGATCGCACTGATTAATCGAAAAATGGTACTGTTGGATGGAATTGACATAAAGAAAATTTGTCATGATGCATTTGGAAGAGCACATATATATGTATATGAATCATTCTCAGCCATACACGTGGCCCCCTCATGATGGCACATCATGCTACGGTGTACTGTCACCATATCTTACCAAAGTTCCCTCCCTTGCATGAAACCTCATACCATCACAAACAACGGGCCTCCCAAATACCACCTTCTCCCATCACCCTGGTTTCCATTTTAATAATTTCCAACACTGAATATTTTTTTTTTTTTTAATTATAACCCGGTGTATGTAAGATTATATGTATTATTAGAAAATTAATTTTTTAATTAATAAAATAATATTCACATAAATATTTAATATATATATATATATATGTATATATATTCGAAAGTGTAGGACAGGACGAGGTGGCGGATTTTGGAGCGATTAAAAGAGAATGGAAAGCGATAATCATACTCGTATTTTCTGGGCTCATTTTTGGCTATTTTTGTCGACAGGGTGACACGTGGGGCCCACTCGCTGGGACCCAACTTTCAATTTTGCAATGATTAAATTAAATTCTTTAAATATTTTTAAAAAAATATATAATTATCGATCATAATATAAATATAAATATATACATATATGCTAATTATTTAAATTACATTATAATTTTATATATTATCGTATACATGTAGGAATAATAAATACGTATGATGGGTTATAAATTATATACTAACATATAATTTATTCATCCTTCATATTACATATATATATATGTATAAAATATCCTTGAAAGTTATCATAATTAATTTGTATATAAATTAAATTAAATCCAATGAACATTATACATGGATCGTGAAAAGCGTATATATATATATATATATATATATATATATATATATATAACATACTGAAAATCACATGCTTAATTACGCTCCTTTTTACTCTAATTATATACTTAACTAACCCAAGCTGCATTGTCACAAACTTAACCCTCATGCACGTATATATTTAACCAACCAACGCATATATACAAACATATATATATATATATATGCAGCATTTACATTTGGATTTTGGAAGTTACCACTTGCAGTTCAAACACAAAATTAATAGATTGGATTGTTGTATGTATATGTGTGTGTATATAAACTAATTATACAACAAAGAGAGGAAATGTGTTTCTAATTATGGACTTGGGCCCCAACCAGAACCTTAATTTCACAAAATCAACTAATCTAATATTAATCCGCACAATTATAATTAATTAAAAAAAATTAGAGAAGTGCTAAATTAGATTAGATTTTTAATTAATAAGAAACTTACATCTTCACCTTACAATTTTACGTAATTAGATCCAAATTACAGAAAATTAAGGGTAAAATAAAACTTTAGGTTAATTAAACACGTTTCTGGTGATTATTTGATTGTGGTTGTAATAATATTGGTTGCTTTGAACCTAAACAAAAATCCAAACAAAATAGCCTAGAGAAAAAGTGGCCTAGAGAGAGCCATACACACACACACATATATATATATATGTATATATATGTATAGTCATATATATATATATGTGTATATGTATATATGTACATATCAATTTCTTCTTGTGAATAAATCCAGGCTGTTATTTTTATGGACCCCAAAATTGAAATTGACATTTTGCAAAAGAAAATTAGTAATTACTTCCTTTTTAAAGTCATAATTCCACAATAAAGTAAAAGTTGATTGAGTGAGCGAGTGAGTGAGTGAGTGGTGTCCGTTGTCATTCTTTACAGGGATATATATATATACATATAACACACACACACACACACACACACACACACACACACACACACATACATACATACATACATATATATGTCTGTCATGCAATGACCATAATTAATTTAATTTAAAAAATTTAAATTAAAAAAAACAATATATTAAAATTTTCAAATTATATATCATAATTATTTGTCAGAAATTCATTTTAAAATCCCTCCCACTACTTTGGATGTTGTCTTAATTTCATTTTAAACTTAAATTTTTTAATTCGATTAAATTTAAAATTTTGAGTTTTTTTTTTTTTTTTTTTTTTTTAAAAAAAAAACCTTAAAAAATTAAACTTTGGTTTTACATAAATTTAATAAGCTTTGTTATTTTACTAATTTAGTGGAAAATATGTATCCAAACAGCCCTTATCTATATATATATATATATATATATATATATGAAGTATAAGCCCGTTTGCTAATATTAGACTTAAATGGGCCGACACATTGAGCCCATTTAAGTCAGCCCATGAAGTTTTGGGTTAAATATAAAAGCCCAATATTATTGGATCCACTTATTTTTTTTCTGATTTCTTTTTTTTTTAAAAAAAGTTTATATAAAATAATTAATTTTTAAAAATATTATTTGTAATTATTTTCTAAATTTTAATATGTTTATTTAAAATTCGTATGTGTGTGTAACTTTTAAATAAAAGAACTACTTGTAAAAATATATATATATATATATATATAATAAAAAAAACTACATTTACTGAATTGTGAAAAAATTAAAATATCGGGATTAAATTGCAATAACACTAAAATACGGGGTAAAAATGTATTTTCAAATAAATAAATAAATAAATAAAAACGCACGTAAAATACACCCGTCCGACTCATTTTTCTCTCTGCAACTGTTCTCTCTCCTAGGGTTCCTCCAGTGACGCCATTTTGCTCTTGGCAATCTGTGGTTGTACTAGCATCCCCAATTTCGTCCTATTCCAGGTATGTTAATAAAATGAATCCTAGAAATTTTGTACACAATTCACCCTCTTGATGTTGCAACGTATTCGGATTTGATTAATCCACCCTTACGAAACAGCGATTTGCATCTTGTCCTCCGTTTTCATTTGAATACATGTTTCCCATGTTCAGAAATTATTATCCGATATTGGGGATGCTTGTAATCTAATTTTAACTATATAGATCTTTTTTTTGTTTTTTTCAACTAGTTTCTTGTAATTGATGGTTTATTGGTTGTGTGCTATCCTATATTTTGCTGATTCATGTTCGTGGCCTTTTGTTGGTCGATTATAAACTGCATTCATGACGCCATCTCTGATTCTGTCTTCTCGGTATGGTTAGATTCGATTTGAGTTCAAATTTTTCATGGAAACATCGGAGTTGAATAGATGAGTTTGTTACACTTTGTTGAGTTTGAGGAGAGATCGAGTTCATATTCATTGATCGAACGGGTATAAGTTTGATGCTTTGCCATTAGAATCGCTGCCCAAAATAAATTTTTTTTTTTTAAAACCTTCAGATTTGGATAGACACTGAGTGCTGGCTGTAACAAGTTGTGTACCCTTTCACCGTAAATAATCTCTAGTTTGAGGTGATTTATTTTGCCTGGGAGGAGGTATCAGTGTAAGATATCATCATTACCACTTCGAGTTATAGTTGCAGGCTGTTATATTTGTAGGTTGCAGGCATAACTTAAGTGTTTGTCATGCTTCCAGGTGCCCTTCCTTTTGAATGTCATTTTGTTACCACAATTGTGCATTTGGTTCAGTTTTCTTTCATGTTGTTGTCAAAATTTGAACTTTTAATTTTTATTATGCTTAATTATAACATAGTTTGTTGTGTTTCAGTTACCATAATTCCTATGTTGAAGTGGAAATTCAGCTCCCCACTTTATAAAGTCGGAATTGGATTTCCACTATGAAGAAAATTCATGGTGGACTGGTGATAAACGCATAAAGCTACTGTCTTTTAGAAAATAGCAAAAGAAGTTATTTTAATTATGGATAATAAAACTAACATGAAAATTAGAACCAGGAATTGGAATCAGATGCTAGCTACATGAATATTGTTATCATCGCTGATTAAATTGGTTCATCTGGAGGCTGTGGGAATGTGTAGCTCTTTTATTCTTGATTGGCTGCATAATTTATGCTGTTTCATGCAAGGTATGTGCACATATGTTTGCCTTTTGGTATGGTTTCTATTATTGTAAATTTTATAGGTAATACACAACTAGACTCAGGTATGTTGATTGAGGATTCTAGAAGTGTACTTCTTTGCTGATCATTAGATGCAGGTGTTGCACACTGATTTAGTGTCAGTCAAACTTTTTTCTGAGCGAGGCAGTTTTCTACAATATTTAGTTATAGAAACATCAGAAATTACATGAAGTGAAATTTCTTATTAGCTTTCTCAAAGGGCCCTATCCGTTTGTTGTTGCAATTAACATCGTAACATTGTAAATTAAGATGCACTGGTTTTTTATTTTTTTTGGAGAGTAAAGAAGGTTAAGGTGCACTAGGTATGTGATGCTACAGGACTTCTGTAATCCTGAATAATAAGTTCCTGCTTCCTGCCTTCTTAATACTCCCAAAGAGTTATAATTGTATAAATTCGGATGTTGGAGTTTCTCTCCAGAAATCTTTAGGATGCTTTCATATATTCATTTGATTGGAAATCTGACGTTGATTCAGTGGGGATGGAAATTCATGAAAGTCACATGTTGATGTTTATGTAGTGAGAAGGGCTAGTGATGCTTGGCACAGGACTTGCCCTAGTTAATTTGCTAAGCATATTGCAAGATGCATGGGTTTTAGAAGAACTTTTGCCAAGCATTTGCTGTGCATGTTGTGTACTTTTACATGTGAATATAATTTGTGTCATTTTGAAGGTCAGTGTTCAAATGATGCCTCTCGAGGTGGTCTTCCCCTTTTCACCTTGCTGGCAGAGTTGCTTATTTCTATTTAAAAATTATCTGCAGGATGACAGAGGCACCATTTAGACCACGTGAAAAGCTTATTGAGAGGCAGAAATATTTTCAAAGCATTCACAAACACACGTACCTGAAAGGGCTATGGATAAGATCACTTCTGTTGCAATTCCTCTTGCTTTGGCAGTTTCTTCGATGTACTTAATTGTGAGATCATCTATACACGCTATACCTGTTCCATATATGTAGCATTTACTCGTTATGACACTTTTAAGAATGAAAATGGTAATTTCTTGTGTTTCAACTTTAGCATCTTTCTCTTTTTGTTTCAGGGAAGAGGGATCTATAACATGTCTCATGGAATTGGGAAAAAGGAATGAATGGCCGCCTTTTCATGGTGAATCATAAGGTCATCTACCGATATTCAAAAGGAAGGACTATGGGCTGTTTAAATTAGCATTGTTTTCAAAGTTTGTATTCATTTTCCCTAATAATTTGCATAGTTGCAGCCACTTTTTTGCTCTCATTATAAATGGAAACACACCGGTGATGAATTTGCTGTTTGTTTTGGCTTTTAATGCCAATGATCAAATCTTTTGGTTTGTCTGGTTTGTAAACGCATGATTCTTGTTATTTCATTGCCTTCGAATTTCGGGTTCTTTTTAAAGGGCTCAACGGATGAGAAATTGAATGAAGTGTATTACACAATAGCTTTGGAAAAGGCCCAAGATTATCCACTCAGCAGGCGACGTGTCTGGCGTCGAGCTTACTAAAAGATATGGTCAACTGTTATTGTTTGCTTGCTTGTTTGACTTTTCTTTTCAAGGGATAACAATAAATCATGAATTATCGGAATTAGACGAAGATTAGAATCCCTTGTAGCATTGATTAAAACCCTAAGGATTAGGTGACATCTCTTTCGGGAAGTGATTAAATGCTCGAGAAGCACATAATTACTTCATATTAAGATAATTCTAACAAAACTGCTCGTAATGTTTTGACGAAATTGATAATAACTGCATTTTGTTGTTTGAGGGATCCTGCCTCGGCCATCAGTGGCTGCTAAAGTTGTTTAACTATTGGTCTGAATCTGAAGTTTTTGAGTCATGGCGGTGGTATTCCTGACATATCAGAAAGTAGGTGTCAAACAGGTTGGACTGAGTTGATCTGACCCCAGCTTTGATTGATCGGGGATCAATCTATGTTATTGTTCTGTAAGCGTCTGCGAGGCAGGAGGATCAGAAGGCATAAAAATGGATCCTCAGCTTCTCATGAAAAACAAAAGAAAAGAACAAGAGGGTAAGTTACTTCTCCATTAATCTATGGCTGGTGATGTTGGACCGAAAGCAAAGAGCGAACCGGTTGAAGTCAGAACACAAAACCAAGGCGGCGAAAATCCAATATAATCTTGTAAAGATGCTTTGACAAACAAGAACTTCAGAAAGTCAATACATTGAAAGTCAACTTGCAAGATGAGTAGACAAGACTGACCTTGGAAGCAAAGTACCCGCTATTATTCTTATTGCATACATAACACATACAATACATAATATATATATATATATATATATATATTCGAATTTAACAATTATTTTGTAGAGTTTATTATGTAATTAAGAATATGTAGTCTCTTAATTTCTCTGATATTACACGTTTACTTACAATAGAATATATAACACACATGAGGAACTGAAGGGTATGTTCCGAAGGCAAATAATTTGAAGTGGAGATGCCACGACTCCGTCAATATATATTGCTTGACCAACTTTTTTTTAATTAATTCATATATACTTTCACATTATTAGCATTAAGGTGTAAGTATATAACCATTTATTAATGTAATATTTATAATTATATTATATAAACAAATTTCTTGTAGTGATGTACAAAAAATTATTATATCTTCAATTTTTTTATTTATTTTTTTTTTTTTTGAAGTATGTGGAGAAAACATGCTATAAGAGTGCATAATTCTAAAATTTGTAGTCAATTAAAAATTAATCATATAATAATATTATTTTTTTAATTATCTTTTTATTTGTTAAATATTATATGTACGTATGTATGTATGTGTTATTAATTTATAAATTAAAAAAATAAAATTTTCCTGTTCAAAGACAAAATTGTCAAAAAGATCTGGAGCACTATAAAATATAAAAAGAAGTCTTATCATGCTCTAGCTGTTAGAATCTTATACATATTTGAAAAAAGAAAAACGTTCAAAGTACAAATTCTCTTCTTATCACTTTCGTTCAGATAAATATAAATAAATACATTCCTGCAATGCTGACCAACTATACGCGCATTCCATATGTATGTATTTGTATATTATATATATATGTTAATACATATATGTACATAGACATTCAACAACAAATTTAGTTAACAAAATATTTGGTTTAGAACGTAAATTATTGTATTTTGTTTGAAAGTTACAAATTCAAATTTTATTAAGAACGTAAATTTTATTATTTTATAAGTATATCGTGATTTAACTATAACTAATAATATTTTATTTAATCAAACTGATTATTTAACTCGTGAGCTAATAAAATATTGGTTTTAACAATTAAGATCATTGTATTTTATTTGAAAGTTACGAATTCAAATGTTATCGATAACGTAAATCTTATTATTTTAAAATATATCGTAATTTAACACTGAGTTATAATATTTAATTTGGTTGAAACGATAATTTAACTCATGAATTAACAAAATATTAGTTTTAACAATTAAAATTATTGTATTTTATTTGAAATTTACGAATTCAAATCCTGTTAAAAACGTAAATCTTATTATTTTATAAGTATATCGTGATTTAACTGTGACTAACAATACTTAATTTAATCGAACTGATGATTTAACTCGTGAGCTAATAAAATATTAGTTTTAGCAATTAAAGATTATTGTATTTTGTTTGAAAGTTACGAATTCAAATCTTATTGAGAACATAAATCTTATTATTTTATAACTATATCGTGATTTAACTGTGACTAACAATACTTGATTTAATCGAACTGATGATTTAACTCATGAGCTAACAAAACATTAGTTTTAACAATTAAGATTATTGTATTTTGTTTGAAAGTTACAAATTCAAATCTTATTGAGAAAGTAAATCTTATTATTTTAGAATATATTGTAATTTAACACTGAGTTATAATATTTAATTTGGTTGAAATGATAATTTAACTCATTATTATGATAATAACGCTACAGTCACCAAATTATATTAAGTGTTATAGTATTTTTTTTTATGTAAAATGAATATTTTATAGTGATTATATTTTTTTTAATTAAAATAAAAACTTTATGCAATCTATTTGAATTTAGAAAAAAAAAAGAGCAAGTATAATTATTATATAACTTCTATTAATTCGGGATTGTGATTATCACAAAAATTGGGTGAAGTTTTCTTCATCATTTATTTCACATAAATTAATTATATGTTAAACTATTAGTAATATCGAGTTTTCTGAAAATACTATATAGATAAAAAAAAAAAACTTGAGTTAAAAATATATATATGTATATATATGAGATAGTTATATAGTAACGATAGATATTAGTCAATATATAAAAAAAAATTACGAGTAACTAATTACACTCTCAAAATAAATAATAATAGTGGTTTAAAAAAATTAATTAACGGGATAATTAATTATTTTTAATACATTCCTAACATTTTAATATATTAATCACGACTATATTAAAATTTTAATATATCTATTTATTTATAAGGGTAATGAATTTAAGTCAGATAATATTATTTTATACGTTTTTGTACGTAGATAAAAAAAAATGTATTTATATAACATAATTTATAAATATTTTAATTTACTAAAGAATTATATACTAATGATCACCAATGAGGCCTAAAATAAATTTAAAAACTTTTAACTAATGGGGCAAAATTCTATGTTTTGATCCTATGAACATTTAATGCATATATAAATATGTTTATATATATATATATATATATATACACGTATGACATTCAAGTTAAGTGGCTGTTTATTTATAAAATTGTGATATGTTTTTTTTATTATGGATTCTTATAATTATTTTTATCTACTACTGACCAAAAAAATTCCCATTTAACGTCGTCGTTTCGTCAAATTTCAATCAATAGGAAAAAGTCTTCTGATAAATATATAAATAAATTAAATATAATGCATGTAGACATATTCATAAGTAAGACATGATTTGATTCTTTGAATTTGTCATCTTTTTATGGGTTATATCTATATATATTCATTCATATATGCATATACATATCTATCTATCTATATATATATATATATATATATTTATACACGAACAATTATAATAAACTAATGGACCAATGCCAATCCCCATAAGCTGCCGGTCTAACCCGAGAGTCTTTAGATAATTAGAATTTAGACCCTCTATATATACATACACGCATACATACATATACATATACATATACATATATATATTATTGAAGATATTCCCAATGTATAAAAATCAATCATAACTTATATTTTTAAATTTGTCAAGTAAGTACATTATAAAAATATACAATTTAGATTGGGTATGAAATTAATTCGAAATTATAATAATGTTTTTATTCAAACTACAATTCTTCTACATGTATTATAATTCCATTCATATTATAATATAATTTTAAATTGAACCAATTTTAATATTATTTTGTATAAAATAATGTTAATACATATACAATGAAATGCATATTTTAAAATTTTAATTATAATAAATTTAATTTTTTTTTAATAAATTTTTTAGGTTAAAATTTCAACGGGTAGGACATAAATGGTTGTGTGTGGTCCATGGCTGCCCAATTGCCAATGGGGTACTCCTTTATTTGGACATGTTACATGTGTTACTGAAAATGAAATTAATTAAGAAATTACTTTATATTTATTTGTTCAAAATGCACCAAAGACTTTATGTATGTTCTAGAACATTTATCCACCATGACATCATCCTTACCCTCCAATTTTATATGATAATAATTAAGTTTGAATTTGTACAGTAAATACTTCATATATATATGTTTCGTATTATTTTTGGTGAATTTCATAATATTCCTAATATATATTTTTTAAAAAAATAATTATATTATTTTAATAACAATAATATATGCGTATTAATTTGAAAATATTCAGAATTTAAAAATTATAAAGACATACTCATAACTAGTGCAAAAAATACTAATTACGATGAAAGAGGATGACTCGTACTTTAGTTTTATAGTTGTTGATTGCAAAAAATTATTACATTTGAAATATGATATTCGCGTAAAATGAACTCAGAGGAACTGCAATCGAACACTTTCTTAAATTTATTAGAACTATTTGTTTTGATTACCCATTTCGTAAAAAAATAATAATAATGTTATTTAATTTTAAATTATTAGAAAATAAATTAAATTTATTAATTACATATTTACTATATATTATATTTTGTAAAAAACCCCGGTAGGCTCACTCAATGCGTGGGTTATACATAAAAGATATATAAGTCAAATAATTCTATATTTTTTTGCTTATATACCATATATAATTATTAATTTTAACAAAATTAAAGCTATTAAATATATATTACGAGGGGGAAAAAAAAAAAAAAAAGGGGTTTAGTTAGAAAAAGCTAAAATGTTGTTGAGCCGCCTGTGAAATTTCAGCTTCCAATTTAAGCCCTTCACCAACCATAAGTTGATGTTAAAGAGTGCCACTCCAATTTATGACGACAACAAAATCATTCGTCCATCACAAATTAATTGCCATCATCATACACATGACATGAATATGTATATTTTTAATTTAAATTTATATATTTTAGATTTAATTAATGTTTATTATTAAATTAATAACAATTATTATCTAATTAATTAAGCTTAATGACATAAATAATACCATAAAACAATTTATGAACATAAATAATGTTTAAGTTCCATTTTTTCTGATTCGTACATTAGAAACTTCCGTGGCAAATAATACCGGTCTACGTGGCACGCCTTCTCTGACCCAACTGCTGACGTCACCCATCGTGTTCTCTGGAGGGAAGCTCCGCTGAAACCTCTCCCTGGACCCCACCGCACTCCACTCTTTTCCCCTTTCTCTTCTTTTCCACGGCACCTTCTTCCTCAACCTTCCTCCCCCTCCTCTCATTTATAGACCACGCCTCTCCCTCCTCACTCTCATTTTCCTCTCGTTGCTTTTTTTTTTTTTTACTCTTTTCCCCTTTCTCTTCTTTTCCACGGCACCTTCTTCCTCAACCTTCCTCCCCCTCCTCTCATTTATAGACCACGCCTCTCCCTCCTCACTCTCATTTTCCTCTCGTTGCTTTTTTTTTTTTTTTTTTTTCTCTTTCGGAAAAAAAGAGAAAGAAAAACGAATCATTTTCAGATTATTCAAGCTCGCCACCATGATTTCCGCTCTTAAGTTTCGAGTGTGCTCCGCGAAGCGTGGGATGTTTTCTCTCGCCTTGCTTCTTCTCTTCCTCGGTCATCTCAGCCCGGTGGCCGCTCAGCTGAGTCCGCCCGACCCATTTCAGAACCCGCGATTCAATCCCTCGATGGCTATCATAGTCGTCGTGTTAATTTCCGCCATGTTCTTCATGGCGTTCTTCTCCATCTACATCCGTCACTGCTCCGACTCAAATAATGCCGGGAGTGTGCGCCCGCTCGCCGTTCTTTCCCGCCGACTTGCCGCAGCTCGCGGGCTGGACCGCGCCGTGATCGAGAAATTCCCCACTTTTGTTTACTCCGACGTCAAGGGGTTGAAGATCGGAAAAGGCGCGCTGGAGTGCGCTGTATGTCTCTGCGAGTTCGAGGATGACGAAACGCTGCGTTTAATCCCCAAGTGCGATCATGTCTTCCACCCTGACTGCATCGACGCCTGGCTCGCTTCCCACACTACCTGCCCTGTCTGCCGTGCCAACCTCACTCCCCAGCCGGAAGATGAGAATTCGCCCGCGGTTCAACCCACCGAGTCTTCCCGCGAGGAAAACGACATCGAGTCCCAAAACGACGCCGTTCTTTCCGATCACGAAAACGACACCGTCACAGAAAACGCCGGCTCGGCTCCACCTGCGCCGGAGCAGCAAGTGGTTCCCGCTTTGAAAAGGAACCGTACACGTGGATCTTCGAGATCCGGAATTTCGTTTATCAAGTTCCTGCGTTCGAACTCAACCGGGCACTCTGTGGTGCAGCCAGGAGAAAACACCGAGCGATTCACGCTGCGGTTGCCAGTCGAAGTGAGGAAGCAGATATTGAAAGATCGGAAGCTGAACCGGGCGACCAGTCTGATTGTTCTGCCTGGAGAAGCGAGCTCAAGGAGAGGTTACCGAACTGGAGTTGATGGCGGGAGCAGCAGAGGAAAATCTAGTAGTTACCGGCGGATTGACCAGCCGGAACGGTTGATCGTCAAGTCAGACCGATGGGTCTTTCTCAGAACCCCTTCGTTTTTCTCAAGAGCGTCGTCTTTCAAGTCCCCCAGGGTGGCGGCCAATGACGGCGAGGGTATGTCGACTATGTTGAACGGGCCGGGAGCTCAGGGCAGTGATTCCGGTCGTCTTCCGGTGTAGTAATTAGCTACCGGGCCCCGTATTAATACGAATTTTTTTTTATTTTCTAAATTGTGTATAATACGCTTTTTTTTGGGTATTTTTTAATTATTTTATTTATAAGAACAATGTAGTTAGACACACAAAGTCTTTTGAACACATGCTTCCGAAAGCTAATTTTTATTTTAATTTCGTTTCTATTTAGAACTATCATAACGTAAATATTTACTATGAGTAAATTACAAGAATTTGAATATTAAACGTTAGTATTTATATATATATATTATAATTTAATAAATACCTTATATTATAAATTAACACCCATAAAAAACACACCCTTTGTTCATTTATTTGCTAACTTTATTTTAAAATTCATGAATTCTGAAATCAAATGTGAACTTGGAATGTGCTGTGGAATCAAATTCAAAGTAAGGCAATGAGTTCTTTATGCATTGGCAAGTTGGGTTTTCAGGATATGATTTAATTGAAAAATAATAAGTTATTGGACCACAACCTTATGGACCGATATGGATGGCATTAATTATTGGTATTAATTATTTGGTAAAAAATCTTAATTTTACAAATTTAAATAATTTTTTAATTAATTTTCTTAAAATAATTAGTTTAATTATTATAAAATTCGAATTTTCTTGAATTTTAAATAATTATTTTTTTAAAAAAAATATAGTTCTTCAATAATTAACTAATAAAAATTTAAAACTTATCAACAGAAAACGGACCAGGAAGGGACCTACTTTTCCCGTTGACGGCTACTCGAAACAGGTACGGAACCAAGCCCTGATTTTTGGGTTGGGCCTGCGAGAAGCGGGTCAACCCGAGAACCTCCATTAACAGCGAGCAACAACAACCGCGCGCCACCGAATTAGAGAAGCAACAAGAAAGTGAGGATGGAGAATCAAGGAAAAGGAGCGGAAGCTTCGGAAAATCCAGAAGCCAAAAGCTTGAAGAAGACCCGGATAGTAATAGGGGTACCTTCATATCAAGAAGTGATTGAGAGCTCGCAGTCTAAATCAACACCACCTTCTCTCTTCGCTCCGTCGCAATCGTTTTCTCAGGCCTTCTCCTTTGTCAAATCCTCTGAATTTTACTCCCCTCCGCCTCCCGCCTCCGATCCCTCTACCTCTTTACAACCTTCTCTACCTGCTCCCTCGACGCCAAGGTAATCTTCATTCTGTAATTCACAACAAATCATGCACCTGGCTTTTTTTTTTAAAAAAATTTCTGTTCATTTTTTCTTGGCTTTTGGAAACGTTTTTTTTTTTCTTTTTTTTGTTTTTTCGTTTAAAATATTGGGATGATTAGAGAACGGGGAAAGCACTTTAAGGAATTACAGATTAGGGTTTAGTTTGAAAGCTAAAGTAATTTTTACTTGGATTGAAATAATTCATGTGGTGTTTGATATGGAAACGGTTTTTTTTTAGCCATGTTGGTAAACCCAATGTGGCTTCTTCTTCTTCTTCTCCGGCAGTGTCAGTGGGCTCTGCTTCAGCAACTGCCGTTGGTTCATCCTCCTCGAATTATACTCAAAGTCGCAATGCAATCATTGTTAGCCACAGACAGGTAAATTTGATGTTTTCTGGAGTCTCGGTATAGTGTTACTCATGGCAACTGGTTGTTAAACTGTAAGGATATAGTTGGTCATGAAATTTTAGTAGTTGCCTTTAAAATTTATGCTTGTGTAGAATATTAGAACATAGAATACCTTCTGTAGAAGTGTTCTTACAAGGCTTTTTTTTGAATTGTAATGTAATGTTGATGTGTATATGACTATATGTATATAAAATCGTAATGAAAAGATGTTTACATCATAAACAATGCCAATAAATCACGAATAGATGCTAGAAGTTGCAATTGAATTAGCAGTAAAGTTCAATTAGGAGTTCATATCTGTTGTACTGGAAGAATAATGAGGTTAATTTTTACAATTTTATTGAGAATTTTGACTATCTTCTAGTTAATTTGGCTGTAGATTTACAAATAAATTCCATAAACTCTAGATTTGTTCCAAACATAGCCTCAGTATTAACTGTGCGATTTAGGGTGGAATTATGCATTGTTTGCTTATCATGATTCACTCAAGTTTAACATGTGTTGCAATGAACCTACCTGCTTTTACCATTAGTAGTCTTTTTAGATTAGGTGCATAAAATTCCTGAAGAAGTTCGCATTCTTTTATTTATCTCAAGAATCTCCTGAGTAGAAGTTGCCTCCTGTCTATCAGAAAGGAATCCTTGCTAAAATGCATCA